TGTTTTTTACACAATGTTTAGTGTAGGACTGGGTAAGTCAGTAAATTTTTAGGAGTTAGCGCAGTGCTGCGCAAATGGCTTGGTGCGCCAACCCAACACAGTAACTCAATTACGTGGCTGGGAAAACGTAGCTTCTTTAAGCTGTCTGGAGTGTTATTCCGGTCTCAGGTCTCTTAAAGCTTTTATCCGCTTTAATGCATTATAACTCATTAACTCATAACACTCAGACAGCGGCAACACAGTGTTTCCAGGCCTACTACCAGTAGTCAAATTTGATCTATTGGCGTTCCAGATGTTTTTCTTTGTTTTTGAATTTTCGAGCAACCAGAAGCACAAGCGAGTTTTCTGCGGGTAAAAGTTGCGAGATCTTCGAGGACGGCAGAGATGTTTTTCGGCAAACACTAATCAATTGACAAGTTTACAGTGTTTTTTGCCGCCACACTGGTTCAAGAGAAATTAAATCCAAGTTGCGGCTAATTAAAAAACATAATTTCTGCCAAAGTGAGTGAGATGGCTTAATGCAGAATCGTGTATTCGAAAGAGCGCACTTTCTTCTCAGGATGGGGAGAGTTTTGCTGTTGAGCCATCATTAGGCAGGTGGCAACTCAAATTTAAAAGAGACTGTGCATAAATTGTGTGGTAATTTTCAAAAAATTAAGTTTTACCCAACCGAGTGAAATAGAACGTGGCGAAGGCGTCTGTTGGAAGGAGCACACATTAATATGTGGATTTTGAAAGTTTCGTCTTTCAGCGATATTATCGGGGACGATTTGAGAAACCTTCCAACTTGGGCTGCGAGTGTTTCTTCGTAAACTGCACTTCAAAAATGCATTTCTGCTAAACTAAGCAAGATTAAACCAAGTGGAGAGTTTTAGTATGAAACTTTGGTATTCGCACCACCATCCCGAAAAAATGGGCACGAAAGTTAATTAATCAATTTCTGCGAATCTATTGGCGATGGAGCGATGCCAAGTCGATGTTGTGCCGAACCCTTCGGGCACGACACTGGTTTGAACCCAAAAAAACACTCTCAACTGGCCCCTTGACAGGTTTTTTCCACAAACCAGTGTGAACTAAACAACATTGGTTTAGAGCCAAAAATACTCTGATTAAGCCTGGGCAACTCAGGGAATTTTCAGAAGTTGGCGCAGTGCGTGTGTTATAACTCATTGTCCGATGAGTTATAACTCATTAACTCATAACACTCAGAGAGCGGCAACAACTGAAAAAGCGCAACTCAATACAGTATTATCCAGGCCTTGTTTAGTGCAGTGTCTTCTACAATGGAAGTGATCTTCATTTCAGTGAAAACCTTATCAGAATAAGATACACTAAGTTTTTTACAAAATGTTCAGTGCAGTGCTTTGCCAATGAGACCAATCCTGATCCGCGTCCAGGCGAGTGAACGACCCTATTAAAATTTTAACAAAACCCTCCTCCTAAACGCTATAACACTATTAGTGGCAGCATGAAAAGTTTATTAAGAAAGTCGCCCCAATCGATGATCGCAAGAAGACCCATAGATATTGGGTGACGTGGAGTTTCGAGTGACCCAAACGGAAACCTGCTTGAATTTGCCATAGTTGGAACAGGCATAATTATTACTGAAAAGGAACAAGTAATTCATATGAATTGCCCTCAAATGCCGGTTAATGGCAATTTAATAATAATCGTCATGCGCCAACAGTTGACGTTGGGTCAGCCAGAAATCCTCGAACTGACCGACGGTCAGTCCAGACAGTCCGTGCGTGCACCAAAGACGCTACAAGAGCGTCGCGACGCCGTTTTTCTACGTGACCACAGCCGGCTTTGTTTCGCTCGCAGGGTAACAGCAGGGAAATCATTAGCGTTTGCATTAAAAGCTCCACACAATGAGGAATTAGTCCATTCAACTCGTTCCTTTATCGATACAGTAAAGTAGGACAAAGTTTATTTATCAAACTAAACATAAAGCACCCATGGGCTATAAAAGTCAATAGTCACTTTGAGTTAAACGTTGCAACGGCTAAAAAAGCATGTAGATCCATCCGAGATCAGAAAATGCTCGAGGGTAAAATTTTTCGTTCCTCTATTAAAATCCCTGCTGTATACCCTTCAGCCCAGCTAAGCCGATCAGAGCAATGAACGCGGCCTGATGATGGACACAGTGGTTGCGAAACTGTCCATGTCCTCCGATGAGCAGGACGATGTGGCCTTCAAGGTCCTCAACCAGGACGATCTGCCTGCCATTGCAGTGGTGGGGGAGACCATCTTTAAGCCTTTCGGCAACGATCCCAAGGTGAAACCCAACCTGATCGTCCACCCCACGCGACGCGTGCAGACCAACTTGGAGGAGAGCAGACAGAGGGCGCTGGCAAAGTCGCACGGAAATATCAGCGGCTTGAGCAAGGGGCTGAAGAAGAAGAAGCTGAGCAATTCGCATGGCCAGCTCAACCACAACAACAGCAATGCGGGCGTGAAACTGGACGAGCTCAGAAGCCAGGTAGGTGATTGCGGAGGAAATCACCGAATGGGGAAATTCCAACCCTTGTGGCTCCAGGTGGATGCGAAGTTCACCAAAACGCTCGACGCAAAGCTGCGTCGTCTGCAGCGCGAAGAGAAGCAGGGCAGCAAGAAGACGCCCCTTCAGCCCGAGAGGCCGCGCAAACCTTTTGTGACAACCGTGCCTCAAGGCACCTTCTTGGGGCCGCCCAATGAGCAGGAAAAAGAAGCAGCAAAGCCTGGACGGGAGGATGTGGAGAAACAGCCCAAGGTGGAGGCGAAGAAGCTGTTCACTTACTCCAGCCAGCCGCGCGTTCTCAGCCGAACTCCGGCCAAGTTTGTGCACGTGCAAAAGTGCGCTGCAGCCTTGGCAGCCGCCCAGATTGCTGGGGCGGTGGCTGGCCTTCGAAACACCGCAGAAAATGTCGAGCCACTTCAGGAACAGTAAGTTCAAGAAGCTTTTACTTTAGGCTGAAATTGCCCCACCAGCACTGGGGCAAAACCAAGATCCTGTTCGAAGGACCATTTTGTTTTGGAATGTTCTTTCAAGACTCGGCTCGGAGGACCAAAGCTAATAATTCGCCCTAATCCCACTCGAAGGGCCACAATTTTGCCGGAAAAGTAGTTAATTGCGCTATTAAATGCTGTTTCTTTTGCAGGGAAATGAACTACGGCAACGTGATGTACGATAAGAGAGTGTTCCGTGGCAGCAACTTCTCCCAGCCCCACTTGGTAAGCATTTGGCACTGTTACCTAGGAAAAATCGGCCCATTTTTGTTACCTCTAACTTTCCTCAATGCGTCTATTAATGCAGCCCAAATGGAACCCCCATTTTGCGTATGCGAAACTGCTCTCGAGAGATGAAGTAAGTACTCGAAACGAACTTTCGTAAATGTGCCGATTTTACTGTCCGCATTAAGTATCGATCAGCCCCAATATAGATAATTTAAGTGACACATGCATGGCCTCATTGATGCAGCCTGAAATCAGGTTAATGCTACTTGTTGAGGGCTGGAATTTTGATCAACTCAATCATAGGGCGATGGAGAATCGGGAGCGGCGCGGGCTGCAGAAGCACGAAGAAGAGCGCTGGCCCGGAGGAAAGCGAAGAACCAGCACTACAAGGCCAACCAGCTGCGCCTCGGGTCGCCTCCTCCCGTTGCTGGTAAGCCCAACTCTTTAAAGCCCTGCGCAAAACAGCAACCTTCGTCCTTGCTCCGTCTCCTACAGGAAGACGCCATGAAAACATGCAGACAGAGCAGTACCTAGAGGAACTTTACGTAAATCCTCCTGTATCTGAAATGTGCACTCAAACCGACCTGTTCGTCGAAAGACCCGTCTCTCCATTTTACGTCCCGGCCAAAACTGGGGCTGATGTTGAAACCCAAATTTACCCAGGCGATGTAAGCGCGAGCAACACGATCTTGAGGACTTTGTCCCACTCACCAGCTTCACTTTTTCCAGCTGTTTGACTTCGACATGGAAGTTCAGCCCATTCTGGAAGTGCTGGTAGGCAAAACTGTGGAACAGGCGCTTATTGAAGTGCTGGAGGAAGAAGAGCTGGCCGCCCTACGGGAGCAGCAGCGCCGATTTTTGGAGCTGCGCTCCACCGAAACAGCTGAAGCCCTAAGGTAGGCCCACGACGCCTACACAGGCTTGGCCTGATTGGAGCGCTTGCAGGTTGGAGGAGCGAGAGAAAAGACTGGTCAAGGAGAAGGAGCGCCGAATAGCTGAGCATGAGGAAGGAGCGAAGATCCAGAAGGAAATGGAGGAGCGGATTGCGGCCGCTGTTCTAATGCAGGGCTACATGGCAGATCTTCTGCCCTCGGTCCTCGAGGGCCTGGAGGCGGATGGCTTCTTGCTGGATAACATCAAAGAAGGTCTAATCCCACATTCCTAGGCGTACACCTGAACACATTTCAAGCATTACCCATAAATATTCCTTCTAGATATCGACGAGTCTTTCATGCCGTGGCTGATCAAAGAAGTCACATTCGAGCTCCAAGACATGGTTTGCAGCAGGGATGTGCTTTCAGGTCGGCCCTAAGCAAGGAAACAGCAGCAGCAACTAACCGTGATATTTCAGACCTGGTCAGGGAAATCTTGGAGAACAGGGCGGAAATCTACAAGGCCCTCAATAAGGAGTCGTCCACAGACGAGACGGAAGAGGAAGGACCTTCAGTCGAGGACATGATCTTGCAGGAGCATCTGAGATTGCAAGAGGAAATCAAAAAGGGCACTGAACAACCAGATGCTACAAATTAAGGTCGGTTTATATCAAAAAAATGTTTTTAGAAACCAGGGATTTACCAAATCGTAGAGCGTTGGGTAGGGGAAGCAAAACGCCTTTATTTATGGGAAAAGGGTCGAATTATCGGGCAGGATTGCAGCATTTTATGCCAAACTGGGACAATTCTTTGCGCTAAAGGTGTCACCCAGCCAGCAGTTTGACGTCAGATCACGTGACAATTGGTGACTTTCACGTCGACATCTATACCAGACAGTGTTATATTGTTTTGTACATTATTAGCGAGTTTAACTTCCGATGGTGGCGCTGCGAAACGTCGAATTACTCGTTGTCGAGTGATAGTTGAGACTTGACAGACTTGTTGATTTATTGGAGTTGACATCTATAACTCAAAACAATATTTACACACTTTTCAATCTGTTTCTATTTCCTTAAAATCTGGCAAAATTTGATTAGAGCGAAACAAAACAAATGACAAAATCAATGTGACATCAAAGTCAACAAAACAAGTGTCAACTTACTAGTTAACGTGCAGTTATAATTTTAGCCACCAGGGGCGTTTGGTCTTTCGAACTTGCGAATTTCGATTGAAATCGCGTGGTTCACCTAAAATATACCTACTAAAGTGTCACTTTTATTCTTTTAGATAACCGAAAAGAACAGTTTATATGAGTTTCAATATGGAAAACACTTGCTTTCGGGCTAAAAGGTGTCTTTTAACCAAAAAATCTACTTTTTTCAGCATCAAATACAACCAAATCGTGTGTCACCCTTAATGCAATGGCAACTTAGACGTCCAAAATTAAAAATTTTCAACGAAAAACTTTAGGTTATTCGGCGTTGCTGACTTAATTACTAGTCGAAAAATTTTGAGTTTATATAATTTTGACCATGTTTTTTTATTCAAATAATGGAAATKTACCAGAAATCTGCGTCAAATGGCGCCACTGTCACTGAGTTRTCARTGACTTTTGTGTCATATCAGACGTATGTGCRCAGTAATAAGTTTAAATTAGTAAAAACTAAAAAAGTAAAAGTAAAAAAAAAAACGATTTTTTTATGGATTTTCAATTGAAAAATCTGTCGAGTTTACATTATTCGACGATCCTCAACTCGGAATTTACATAAAAATTYAATCTATTTACTACACAAATATAATTATGACCATCTGAAATGTACCCGGATGGCGTCCAAAACGTCACTGTCAATAAACCGATAATGGTTTTTACGTCATCAGTTATTTGCATGCTGATGGATCTAAATTACGATTGCTTCGAGTCTTTTTAGGTCTGTTTTTATTAAACTACGGTGAAAAGAAGCAAAAAGCAAAAGCAAGCGACTGTTGACGTTGGAAATCATGGATTACAAAATTGATTTTATATCACTGTAAACACAGCTTTGATTGAAAACCTCAAAGCTTCAAAGCGCGTCACTGTCACATTTATGTCATCTTTCACTTGCGTGTTGAGTTGCGGTTTTAAGTGTTTAATCGACGTTTTCTAACTAATTAATTTAAGGGAAATTGTGTTGTTTGGCCAGTTTGGAGACATTTCCTATTAAAAATACATCGTTTTGCAACAGAAACGATTAATTCTGTCTGCCATGTAAAGACGAGTTAAACAAATGTCACTTTCAATAGGCTGACATTGAGTTTTCTATCATCCTACACTTGCGCGTGCCACATTTCGGTTCTCAATGTGAAGCTTAATTTTTTAACTATTATCAGCAGAAAAAATATTTTGAAAAAAATCGAGGCTAATTTGATGGATTTTCTATAAAAAGCCGTAAAAATTTGTTTATATTTCCATTGACAATTCATTTTTGACATTGGATTGACAGTGAAGTTTGTGTATTTTTCACTTGCGTGTGCAGTTCCAGGTTAAATGATTGAAATCGTATTGTTTAACATTTTCCATCGGAAACAATTAGGAACTAGAAGAAATAAAGGAAAATTCAGCTTCCAGACCCATTCTTGACCTCTTGGCAATTTAAAAAAACGGCAGTTAACAAGAACGATGCGTTTGCTGCCTTAATTACTCACATAGAACCAAAAACCCATTAGCTGAGGGTGGAGTTTCCATCATGTGCTACTTGAGCGTGTAACTGCGCTTTAAAACAGCCCAAAAATAAACAGTCTGCAAGGATTTTGAATCGAGAAAACCATCCTTTTTGCACTAGTCAATATATCTTAACTAGGTAGGTACTTACCGAAAAATTTAGTTTTGAAGCCATTTTGAACACATTTTCAATTTGAAAAGCCGCAACTTACAGAAAATACACATTTTTTTCAAAGCACCTACATGACGGGTGAAAACGTCAGTGTCAGTGAGTTGACATTGACTTTTTTACTGTCAATGTCATTTGGCATTGAGTAGAGTTTGCATCGGCGTACACTTGCGTAATGGAGCAGGTTTGAAATTTTGCACAAAAAAAAACACTTTCTTGGACCAGATTTAATTTAAACCGCTACTAATTTACCTATACAAACACCAACCCCTCGTTCGGCTGATTTTTTACGATATTGTCCTGTAGATTTAATCTCCATAACAATAGAGGCGACCCTCCGACCCAATTTAAATGATATCAGCATCTCGATATTGAAAAACCAAATACAATTAGCCAGACATATCAGATATTAATAATAAAGAAAGCAAGTGGGGGCCAGTTTAGTTGTTATGGTGAAACCTGCATCCGATCTGGCTGTATCAGTTGGGGTAGCGGCCACTTGCAACCACCCCCTGTAGCAAGGGGGTGATTCGTTGCGCTTGCACAGGTGTTTGTAACATGGGGATGTTTGATTGCAGGAAAAGAACACCGCTGGTCCATCCACCTCCTAGGCAAGAAGACTACCATATGTATTTTCAAATATACCTATAGCCTTTGATTAGGGTTGCACTCCATATTTATGTATATTTATTAAATGCTATTTTATTGTCAAATTTGTTGAATGCAATATACAGAAATTGTTTAAATTCTGGCTTTGTGTTACTATTTTACTTCAAGCGACAATTTTTTTGAGAATGTTATTGAGTGTACGTATGGATTGAGGTGTTAAGGTAGTTTAAGGTAAGGTTCGCCCCCGCCAAATGCAATAATCCAGTGGATTTAAGTCTGGTGATCTCGGTGGCCAAGCGTGAGGTCCTCCGCTGCCAATCGAACGATTATTTAACAAAGTTCAGGTTTTTTGACCCTAGGAAATCCCTGCTTGTGTGCTTGTGCTGGCGAGAATCCCTTTAATAATGAACGACATTTTCCAGTCTTCTTAGGGAGTGTGGGTGAAGTATTGATCGTTGGAACTTGCGACACTCGCTATAAATCACTAGCGTTTTACCAGTTTGTCGAAACTTTATTTTAACAATTGTCGCTCGTTTCGGCAGTTATGCTCCCATCTTCAGAGGAAGCAACCCGAGCATTGAGCCGGCAACGCTGCCCAATGCATGCTAAAGGTGCTTAGCTTATCGAGCAATTTTGTAGGAAAAATGTTAAATTATCTAGTAGTTTTCCGGTGTAACTGATTTGGACTCCTAACAGGCATATGTGATACTATTGGGAAAATATCAAGTTTTTCTCGGAAGAAAATGTAGGTCAACTGGGAGTCGAACATTATTGCAAGCATAAATTGCAACTACATCCAAGGGACGTCGCAGTGTCAACATACAGACCCAAACACAGGGTAAGTTTAATAGGTGCAATTTCTAAAGAATAATTAATAATCAACTTAACTTAGCTGTTTACAAAAAGCGTCTTTTAAGGTTATGTCAGCATCTTATAAGAGCATCGCGTCCTTGCCCGAGTAAGTGTCAGTGTCCTCCCCCTCTACATCTGTTTACAATCGATTTTAGCTCCATTCCACTTCAAAGCAGGCCCAAGATCCACGTCCGTCCCACTCCTGTACGGGGCCTGATCAAAAAACAATACAATGCACATCTATTGTGCATTGTGCGGATTGGCGAATTCAAAAGTCCCAACGCCTCCTGACGGCTGAATTATAACTACCCTGACTAGTAAAATTTGACACTTATTTGGGTTAGATGTCATTTAGTTTAGTTCTACTCAGTCTTTCAACAAAGATAGACATATTGAAAAGTGTGTAAGCATTGTTTTATGTTATAGAGTTAAAAACAAAGGCTATAACATGGGATGTCAGGAAGGTATTACCAATGTATTGCTGATTTATGCGGTTAATAATAGCGAGTAGTCTGTGAAGGCTTTCGCGGCCGGTCAAGTCACATTTAGAAATGTTGTTATTTATTTAAAATTTAGAAAAATTGTCGAAACGTATTTGGTGGCCGTCTAGATGTGCGTGCTTTGCCACTGCTGATTTTTCTGTTTTTCCTAATCTGCAACTTCTTTTATGCTCCGTGATCCTAGTGTTTGCACTACGTTTTGTGGTGCCGATGTATGCTCTGCCACAACTGCACGGAACTCTGTAGACTCCTGGTGCTGATAAAGGATCCCGTTTGTCCTTGGCCGATCTCAAAGTCTGTTGGATTGTTCGAGTTGGTTTAAAAACTGTTTTGACTTTGTGTTTCTCCAGTATCCTGCCGATCCTGTCCGTGACTCCATGTATGCATGGGAGGCAAGTCCAACCCATACGCTCATCATGCGTATCTGTTTTCTCCGGAGGACCTCCTCTGTTTTTTGGTCAAATTGCTCTACTAAACTCGTTTTTGCTGTATCCAATCCAACCAATTCTCTTTCTAACTCAGATAGTTCGCAAATTCTTCTGGTTCTTTCGGTGAGGGTTTTAATGACTCCTCTCTTTTGACTGGGATGATGGTTTGATCCACTGTGCAGGTACCGGTCGGTATGTGTCGGTTTTTCTGTCCACCGTGTGGGCCAGTTTCCCGTTGGATTTTTTTGGTTACCAAGACATCTAAAAATGGCAGTCGCCCATCCTTCTCCACTTCCATAGTGAACTGTATTTTTGGGTTGATTGAGTTGAGGTGCCTCAGGAAGTCTTTAAGTTCAACCAAACCATGGCCCCAAACAACGAAAGTGTCATCAACATATCGAAGCCAACACTTAGACTTCCTCGCGGCTGTGTCCAGAGTGTCCATCTCAAATTTCTCCATAAAGTAGTAGGCTATCACCGGACCAAGGGGGCTGCGCATTGCTACCCCATCCGTCTGTTCATGGAATTCGTTTTTCCACTGAAAGTAGATTGTGGTTAAGCAGTGTTCGACCAGTTTGGCGATGCCTGGTGGAAATTCTCTCTCAATAAGTTCCATCGCCTCCTTGATTGGTACCATTGTGAACAACGAAACAACATCAAAACTCACAAGGATTTCTCCGAGAGCTAATGATAACGAGTGCAACCTCTGAACAAAATGGGATGAGTCCTTTATAAAACTGTCCGTTTTTCCTATGTTGGGTTGTAAAATAATGGTTAGATATTTTGCAATATCATAGGTCGGACTTCCAATAGCGCTCACAATAGGTCTCAGTGGTACATCCGATTTATGGATCTTGGGCAGTCCGTAGAGCCTTGGTGGGAGTACTTCTGATTTTCTGAGTTTGGCCAACTCCTCGGACGAAACTGTCATGTCCTTAATTATTTTGTTGGTTGTCCTTAGTATCCGTGCCAACTTCTTGTACGTTGACGGTGTCAAAAGCTCTATAATTTTGTCCTCGTAGTTCAATGATGACATGACCACAGTTGCATTGCCCTTATCAGCTGGTAGAACGAGAATCTCCTTATCCTCGTTGAGCGTTTTCAAGGCTTTTCTTTCCCTGAAGGTGAGGTTGCTCTTCGGAGGCTTTGAACGTTGTAAGATTCGTCAAATTCCTCAAATCCCAACAGGTGCCAGGTGGGAAATCATCAATAGATCTGAGATAAATTATTATTTGCAATGTTCGAATCGATCTGATTTTGCAGAATAAAAACACCACTTATGGCAGTGTGGTGTGGTATGTGTAATAAAAGAAATTTGGGCTTAGGAGGGGAAGCTCGAAAATATGCTTAAAGTGCTTGCGCCTACTAGTAGAAAAATATCATCAGTTAAAGATCGTGAAAGTTCAAAAAGTGTCTAAAATGATCGTAAATGTGGATTATTTCGGATCTTAATCTTCCAGTGTGTTTTTCCAGGCGTTCGTTCGATTCCTCGCTTCTTTGAGATAAACAAAATGTGAAATGAAAAGCATTTTGAGATTTTAAAAAAAGTGAAAAATCGACCTCCACCCCTAGGAATATTTCGAAAAAAAATTAGAATTCCACATACGTGTTTTTTGAGCCAAATGGGTTCATTTGGATGTAACATCTCGAAAATATGCATAATTAGAGTGTTTGAATCTACAATATGGAAAATATCGTCAGTTAAACATCGTGAGTCCGAAAAGTGTCTAAAATATTCGAAATTTGTTGGATTCTTCGCCTCCTTGAGATGAGCCCAAATGATTCAAAGAATTACGAGAAATATTTTTTTTTGCGAAATTGCGTTGAAAATTCATGCTGTTTTTTGAGCTCAATCGATTGCTTTCGATCAAAGAAACTCTTCGTTGAGCAGATTGGAAGTGTTTGGATCTACAATAGGGAAAGTATGTAAAATCGCGAATGTGCCAAAATTGCCTAAAATTAAAAACCTCTATTACTTCGTATCTGAAGCTTCCAGTGTGTTTATCCATTGTTTCGCTGGAATAGCGGGCGTCTCGAAGCATTTAGAGACAAAAAAATTATGAAAAATCGATCCCCACTCTTACGAAAAATTATCAAATGCATGTTGACAAATGTGTGATTTATGATATTCTCTGTTTTTTATGTATGATTGGTGTTCTTTGAGTCTTTTGTGTAATGGTCTT